ATGTCTGGACCCGCACCCAGCTGCGTGAGTGACTGCTGGCTCTGCCTATCTAGAGGCAAAGCCAGCTGTACCCGCTCCCTCCCCCGTCCGTTCCGCCAGTCAGCGCTGGAGGATCGAAGCGGGGAGGGGGGAATCCAGCCCCTCCCCTGTCACGGCAGAGAGCTGTGACAGGATCGAGAAGTGAGCGAACGCCGGTATGTGTTCGCTCACTTCCCGATCTACTGAGCCGAGCTGTGACAGTCTCATTGTCACAGGTTGGCTAGAACTATGAGGTGAGTGAAAAGCACTCACCTCATAGTTCTCCTTTTAAGGCCTCATTCACGCCGGATCCATTGCGTTCAATTTTTCAACGGATTCTAATGGAAGGGCACCAAAAAACTAATGGGAGTGAATGGGGCTTGATACGTTCCGTTATGTTGCACTGAAAAAAAGTAGAACATGCACTACTTTTTTAGCGCAATGTAATGCAACGGATCCGGTGTGAACTAGCCCCATTGGCACCCATTTATTTTATGGTGCCTTTCTGTTAGCATCTGTTGAAAAGCGTTTTGCATCCCAACAGATGCCAATGGACTTGCAATTCCTTCTGGCTTTGGTGTTAATGCACCCTAAAAGAGAAGTGAACTGGCCACCAAATACATAAGGGGCCACGTCTGGCAAGTCCGCCTATGATCCACAACAAATTGGAGGTATACCCTGACTTCAGAAGGACTACGAAAGTTGGGAACTTTGTCTGCTTGCCACCTTCTCAGTGCTAATACCCCCACCCCTACCCAGAATTCTAATTTAAAAAAATGTGGCTTTTTAAAAGTCTTCTACATAAAGACTAAATGGCACAAAACAGACAACCCAAGATGGTAAGGAATGGGTCCATGCCAGTATACATGGGCTCCACCAGAAGCCTGCCAGGCTTGTACACTCTACACCTGGTCAGTTGTCACCCAGCAAACCTGTAATTACGTGCAGCGATCCCAATAAACGAAATAGCAGCTCGCCTTATAATTAGTATCATGCACAGCCACGAACATAGACTGGAAGAGGAAGAAAGCAGACAGCCGTGTGTGTGTGCTCCCAGCAGAGCGCTGCTGAGCGCCGCATCCTGCGCCCGGCCAGAGCTCACCCCCCGCGCTGCGCTCTCCCCACCATAGATCGCTCGCTGCGCTCTCCCCACCATAGATCGCTCGCTGCGCTCTCACCACCCGCTCCGACACTGCAAGGTGATCTGATTGCAGACGCTGCATTGCTGCTCGCAGGGAAGGGCTGGCTCTTTAAGAACACAGTCTCTCCCTCTCTCTGCTCATATGTATTCTTTCCAGAGTCGAGCCGCTTCAAAGGATGAATAATGAGCGCCTGTGTGCCGGCAGCCCAGGCTTATTATTCCATGGGAAAGCCTCGGATCATGCACTGTGTGGGGAAGCTGAAGACATGGGCTGCCTTGTGAACGCGCACACATCATAAGCCATCCTGCTGGGGGGGATCGCCCTGGAATTCCCAGCTGCAGCAGCCAGCCAGCCAGGGCCCTCTGTGTGTGTGTGTGTGTCTTCCTCCTCCTGACCTCCTGTCACCAGGATCCTCCATGTCAGCGCTAGAAAAGAGTCCACCCACATGCATGGACCGTTAAATAGGCAAGTCTCATGTGCATCTCTCAGTGAGACTGCAGAAGGCACAGGCTGAGCACCAAGCAGCAGAGCTGATGGAAGAACCAAAGGGTGAGTGCCCCTTACTGCTAACCCATTGCACTGCCAACCCTTTCCTCTGCCAACCCTTTGCACTGCTTACCCTATTGTACTGCTGACCCTTTCCTGGTCACTGGTCTGCCAGCTGAACTTCACATAAACTTTTCCTTGAAAGGCTCTCAGGATCATTGATGATCCATTGAGCACTCAAGCCGCCTGCAGCATCTGGACACACAGATCAGCTCAGGTTGTTGTCAGTCTGGGGACTTGGAAAAGTTTGTTGTGATGCTAGACAAGTTTATGCCACTCATCTACAGCAATCAGATGTTACATTGAAATATAATAGAAGTGGTATTTATGGCAGGCTCCACTCACTGAGGGGTATAGGAGCCATCAGATGTTACATTGTAACATAATAGAAGTGGTATTTATTGCAGGCTCCATTCACTGAGGGGTATTAGAGCCATCAGATATTACGTTGTAATATAATAAAAGTGGTATTTATTGCAGGCTCCACTCACTGAGGGGTATTAGAGCCATCAGATATTACATTGTCATATAATCGAAGTGGTATTTCTTGCAGGCTCCATTCACTGAGGGATATTAGAGCCATCAAATGTTATATTATGGTCTTTACAAGTTGTATTTCTTGCAGGCTTCACTCACTTTCAGCAACCAGATTGCTAATTGTATTGAAATGCAATATAATTCCACTCACTGAGGGGTAGTACAGTAATCAGATTTGATATTGTGATACATCAGGAGTGGTACCTATGGCAGGCTCCATAAATCTAATGTTACATTGTAATACAATAGGAGTGATACTTCTTGCAGGATTTACTCACAGCAATCAGGTTTTACATTGTAATACAGTAGCAGTGGTACTTCTCGCAGGCTCCAATTGCAGCAATCAGATGTTACATTGAAATTCAATAGCAGTGGTACTTCTTTCAGGTTTCACTCACTGATGGGTAGTAGAGCCATTGGATGTTACATTGTTATGCAATATAAGTGGTCTTTCCTGCAGGCTCCATTCGCTGAGAGGCAATATAGCAATCAGATGTTACATGCTAATACCACAACAGTGGTACTTCTGGCAGGCTCCATTCACAGCAATCAGATGTATAATACAAAAGCCACTGTACACCTTGCAGGCTTCACTTATTTACAGCAATCCGATGTTACATTGTACTACAAAAGCCATGATACGCCTTGCAGGCTTCACTCACTGAGGGGCATTAGTATTACATTGTAACACCTTAGCCATGGTAATTCTTGCAGCCTTCACTTGCGTACCTCCTTTTAGATGTGAGATTGTAATACAATAGAAGTGGTACGTCTTGTGGCTTCACCCACTCTGGAGCAGTACAGCAATTAAACTTTTTATTGTTTTCTTTTTTTACATACAACGTTTTACTTAAGAAAAGGAAGTTTTAACAATACATAAAATATTGACATGTAACAAAACATAATATTTGGCAGCAGCTTCAGTCTGCACATATTATTTATGCAATATATAATAACCAGAGCAACTGTTGTGGGTCTTTATCAGCATTTTTCACATTGAACCAAAATCTAATACAGTTTATCCATATACAATGTTAGGAAGTAGACCAATCAAACTTTGATATTAAATTGTAATACAATAGCCGAGTTATTTGTTGCAGACTTGTTTTTTTATGCTATTAGACCATAGTTATCTGTGCTGTGTACTGTTAGATCACCTTTGTATTGTGAGCCAGTAGACCACATATGTACTGTATAGTGTTAGACCACGTATACTACATTATATACTACTATATGTTAGACCACATATGTACTGTGTACTGGTAGACCACATATGTACTGGGTACTGGTAGACCACATATGCACTGGGTACTGGTAGACCACATATGTACTGGTAGACCATATATGTACTTTGTACTGGTAGTGCACATATGTAGTCTATACTGTTAGACCACATAGGTACTGTGTACTGTTAGACCACATAGGTACTGTGTACTGGTAGACCACATAGGTACTGTGTACTGGTAGACCACATAGGTACTGTGTACTGGTAGACCACACAGGTACTTTCTGCCTATCTAGAGGCAAAGCCAGCTGTACCCGCTCCCTCCCCCGTCCGTTCCGCCAGTCAGCGCTGGAGGATCGAAGCGGGGAGGGGGGAATCCAGCCCCTCCCCTGTCACGGCAGAGAGCTGTGACAGGATCGAGAAGTGAGCGAACGCCGGTATGTGTTCGCTCACTTCCCGATCTACTGAGCCGAGCTGTGACAGTCTCATTGTCACAGGTTGGCTAGAACTATGAGGTGAGTGAAAAGCACTCACCTCATAGTTCTCCTTTTAAGGCCTCATTCACGCCGGATCCATTGCGTTCAATTTTTCAACGGATTCTAATGGAAGGGCACCAAAAAACTAATGGGAGTGAATGGGGCTTGATACGTTCCGTTATGTTGCACTGAAAAAAAGTAGAACATGCACTACTTTTTTAGCGCAATGTAATGCAACGGATCCGGTGTGAACTAGCCCCATTGGCACCCATTTATTTTATGGTGCCTTTCTGTTAGCATCTGTTGAAAAGCGTTTTGCATCCCAACAGATGCCAATGGACTTGCAATTCCTTCTGGCTTTGGTGTTAATGCACCCTAAAAGAGAAGTGAACTGGCCACCAAATACATAAGGGGCCACGTCTGGCAAGTCCGCCTATGATCCACAACAAATTGGAGGTATACCCTGACTTCAGAAGGACTACGAAAGTTGGGAACTTTGTCTGCTTGCCACCTTCTCAGTGCTAATACCCCCACCCCTACCCAGAATTCTAATTTAAAAAAATGTGGCTTTTTAAAAGTCTTCTACATAAAGACTAAATGGCACAAAACAGACAACCCAAGATGGTAAGGAATGGGTCCATGCCAGTATACATGGGCTCCACCAGAAGCCTGCCAGGCTTGTACACTCTACACCTGGTCAGTTGTCACCCAGCAAACCTGTAATTACGTGCAGCGATCCCAATAAACGAAATAGCAGCTCGCCTTATAATTAGTATCATGCACAGCCACGAACATAGACTGGAAGAGGAAGAAAGCAGACAGCCGTGTGTGTGTGCTCCCAGCAGAGCGCTGCTGAGCGCCGCATCCTGCGCCCGGCCAGAGCTCACCCCCCGCGCTGCGCTCTCCCCACCATAGATCGCTCGCTGCGCTCTCCCCACCATAGATCGCTCGCTGCGCTCTCACCACCCGCTCCGACACTGCAAGGTGATCTGATTGCAGACGCTGCATTGCTGCTCGCAGGGAAGGGCTGGCTCTTTAAGAACACAGTCTCTCCCTCTCTCTGCTCATATGTATTCTTTCCAGAGTCGAGCCGCTTCAAAGGATGAATAATGAGCGCCTGTGTGCCGGCAGCCCAGGCTTATTATTCCATGGGAAAGCCTCGGATCATGCACTGTGTGGGGAAGCTGAAGACATGGGCTGCCTTGTGAACGCGCACACATCATAAGCCATCCTGCTGGGGGGGATCGCCCTGGAATTCCCAGCTGCAGCAGCCAGCCAGCCAGGGCCCTCTGTGTGTGTGTGTGTGTCTTCCTCCTCCTGACCTCCTGTCACCAGGATCCTCCATGTCAGCGCTAGAAAAGAGTCCACCCACATGCATGGACCGTTAAATAGGCAAGTCTCATGTGCATCTCTCAGTGAGACTGCAGAAGGCACAGGCTGAGCACCAAGCAGCAGAGCTGATGGAAGAACCAAAGGGTGAGTGCCCCTTACTGCTAACCCATTGCACTGCCAACCCTTTCCTCTGCCAACCCTTTGCACTGCTTACCCTATTGTACTGCTGACCCTTTCCTGGTCACTGGTCTGCCAGCTGAACTTCACATAAACTTTTCCTTGAAAGGCTCTCAGGATCATTGATGATCCATTGAGCACTCAAGCCGCCTGCAGCATCTGGACACACAGATCAGCTCAGGTTGTTGTCAGTCTGGGGACTTGGAAAAGTTTGTTGTGATGCTAGACAAGTTTATGCCACTCATCTACAGCAATCAGATGTTACATTGAAATATAATAGAAGTGGTATTTATGGCAGGCTCCACTCACTGAGGGGTATAGGAGCCATCAGATGTTACATTGTAACATAATAGAAGTGGTATTTATTGCAGGCTCCATTCACTGAGGGGTATTAGAGCCATCAGATATTACGTTGTAATATAATAAAAGTGGTATTTATTGCAGGCTCCACTCACTGAGGGGTATTAGAGCCATCAGATATTACATTGTCATATAATCGAAGTGGTATTTCTTGCAGGCTCCATTCACTGAGGGATATTAGAGCCATCAAATGTTATATTATGGTCTTTACAAGTTGTATTTCTTGCAGGCTTCACTCACTTTCAGCAACCAGATTGCTAATTGTATTGAAATGCAATATAATTCCACTCACTGAGGGGTAGTACAGTAATCAGATTTGATATTGTGATACATCAGGAGTGGTACCTATGGCAGGCTCCATAAATCTAATGTTACATTGTAATACAATAGGAGTGATACTTCTTGCAGGATTTACTCACAGCAATCAGGTTTTACATTGTAATACAGTAGCAGTGGTACTTCTCGCAGGCTCCAATTGCAGCAATCAGATGTTACATTGAAATTCAATAGCAGTGGTACTTCTTTCAGGTTTCACTCACTGATGGGTAGTAGAGCCATTGGATGTTACATTGTTATGCAATATAAGTGGTCTTTCCTGCAGGCTCCATTCGCTGAGAGGCAATATAGCAATCAGATGTTACATGCTAATACCACAACAGTGGTACTTCTGGCAGGCTCCATTCACAGCAATCAGATGTATAATACAAAAGCCACTGTACACCTTGCAGGCTTCACTTATTTACAGCAATCCGATGTTACATTGTACTACAAAAGCCATGATACGCCTTGCAGGCTTCACTCACTGAGGGGCATTAGTATTACATTGTAACACCTTAGCCATGGTAATTCTTGCAGCCTTCACTTGCGTACCTCCTTTTAGATGTGAGATTGTAATACAATAGAAGTGGTACGTCTTGTGGCTTCACCCACTCTGGAGCAGTACAGCAATTAAACTTTTTATTGTTTTCTTTTTTTACATACAACGTTTTACTTAAGAAAAGGAAGTTTTAACAATACATAAAATATTGACATGTAACAAAACATAATATTTGGCAGCAGCTTCAGTCTGCACATATTATTTATGCAATATATAATAACCAGAGCAACTGTTGTGGGTCTTTATCAGCATTTTTCACATTGAACCAAAATCTAATACAGTTTATCCATATACAATGTTAGGAAGTAGACCAATCAAACTTTGATATTAAATTGTAATACAATAGCCGAGTTATTTGTTGCAGACTTGTTTTTTTATGCTATTAGACCATAGTTATCTGTGCTGTGTACTGTTAGATCACCTTTGTATTGTGAGCCAGTAGACCACATATGTACTGTATAGTGTTAGACCACGTATACTACATTATATACTACTATATGTTAGACCACATATGTACTGTGTACTGGTAGACCACATATGTACTGGGTACTGGTAGACCACATATGCACTGGGTACTGGTAGACCACATATGTACTGGTAGACCATATATGTACTTTGTACTGGTAGTGCACATATGTAGTCTATACTGTTAGACCACATAGGTACTGTGTACTGGTAGACCACATAGGTACTGTGTACTGGTAGACCACACAGGTACTGTGTACTGGTAGACCACATAGGTACTGTGTACTGGTAGACCACATAGGTACTGTGTACTGGTAGACCACATATGCACTGTTTACTGGTAGACCACATATGTACTGTGTACTGGTAGACCATATATGTACTTTGTACTGGTAGAGCACATATGTAGCCTATACTGTTAGACCACATAGGTACTGTGTACTGTTAGACCACATAGGTACTGTGTACTGGTAGACCATATATGTACTGTGTACTGTTAGACCACATAGGTACTGTGTACTGTTAGACCACATAGGTACTGTGTACTGTTAGACCACATAGGTACAGTGTACTGTTAGACCACATAGGTACTGTGTACTAGTAGACCACATGTGTACTGGTAGACCACATATGTACTGTGTACTGGTAGACCTGAGGTCTATGTGTTGCCTATGTTAGACAAATCCTGCAAGATAGACTTTAACGTTACAGTGTTTTATTGTTCCCATTCTGTACCTCAATTTAGAGAAACCATTGAAACAGAACAGTTAAACAAAAGTAAAAGGCCAGTCCTCCCCGGGCTGGTACTTTGTTTTTGGGCAGATACTCTACATTGTGTGTATTACTTGGCAGGCTCTGGTGTTTCTTAGGCACTCCACCGGTAAGACCTCCAGACCTGCTCCTAGTTCTGTTCACCTTCCACAACTCACTCTTCCCATTAGAGTTTCATTTATTCCACATGTGGAGCAAGAAAAGTGTTATGACGGGGTGACAGAGCCATGGACTCCAATAGGGAGATCTCCCTAAAACTGATACTCATGAGGCAAGTGGGAAACCGCTCCCATCAACATCTACCTATCAGTTTAGTATATTCTCAACTGTACATTGTATGTGATCAGTAAATAATAAGTCTGATGGTTTGGGTGGAATACAACTGGGTGATTGGGAGTTAATTTTAAAAGCCTCTTTTATTTGGGTGCCAGCATAGTTAATATAGAAATGTTTTATGCGGTGTGTGTGGGCATGATTAGCACAGCATGTTGTTTGACTCTTCGAGTCTCCTAAGTTTGCAGTTCAGCAGTTGCAGACAATCCATCTGTTTCTGAGCTGATATTCTTCTACCAGGTTATCAAGCTTGTATAGCAGTGAAGGGGCCCACATGTACAGGGGTGACATTTGAGTCACCATTGTCCTTGTCATTGTATCACTCTTTACTGTTAGACCACATAGGTACTGTGTACTGGTAGACCACATAGGTACTGTGTACTGGTAGACCACATAGGTACTGTGTACTGGTAGACCACATAGGTACTGTGTACTGGTAGACCACACAGGTACTGTGTACTGGTAGACCACATAGGTACTGTGTACTGGTAGACCACATAGGTACTGTGTACTGGTAGACCACATATGCACTGTTTACTGGTAGACCACATATGTACTGTGTACTGGTAGACCATATATGTACTTTGTACTGGTAGAGCACATATGTAGCCTATACTGTTAGACCACATAGGTACTGTGTACTGTTAGACCACATAGGTACTGTGTACTGTTAGACCACATAGGTACTGTGTACTGTTAGACCACATAGGTACTGTGTACTGTTAGACCACATAGGTACTGTGTATTGTTAGACCACATAGGTACTGTGTACTGGTAGACCATATATGTACTTTGTACTGTTAGACCACATAGGTACTGTGTACTGTTAGACCACATAGGTACAGTGTACTGTTAGACCACATAGGTACTGTGTACTAGTAGACCACATGTGTACTGGTAGACCACATATGTACTGTGTACTGGTAGACCTGAGGTCTATGTGTTGCCTATGTTAGACAAATCCTGCAAGATAGACTTTAACGTTACAGTGTTTTATTGTTCCCATTCTGTACCTCAATTTAGAGAAACCATTGAAACAGAACAGTTAAACAAAAGTAAAAGGCCAGTCCTCCCCGGGCTGGTACTTTGTTTTTGGGCAGATACTCTACATTGTGTGTATTACTTGGCAGGCTCTGGTGTTTCTTAGGCACTCCACCGGTAAGACCTCCAGACCTGCTCCTAGTTCTGTTCACCTTCCACAACTCACTCTTCCCATTAGAGTTTCATTTATTCCACATGTGGAGCAAGAAAAGTGTTATGACGGGGTGACAGAGCCATGGACTCCAATAGGGAGATCTCCCTAAAACTGATACTCATGAGGCAAGTGGGAAACCGCTCCCATCAACATCTACCTATCAGTTTAGTATATTCTCAACTGTACATTGTATGTGATCAGTAAATAATAAGTCTGATGGTTTGGGTGGAATACAACTGGGTGATTGGGAGTTAATTTTAAAAGCCTCTTTTATTTGGGTGCCAGCATAGTTAATATAGAAATGTTTTATGCGGTGTGTGTGGGCATGATTAGCACAGCATGTTGTTTGACTCTTCGAGTCTCCTAAGTTTGCAGTTCAGCAGTTGCAGACAATCCATCTGTTTCTGAGCTGATATTCTTCTACCAGGTTATCAAGCTTGTATAGCAGTGAAGGGGCCCACATGTACAGGGGTGACATTTGAGTCACCATTGTCCTTGTCATTGTATCACTCTGTCACCTACATACAAAAATCCAAAGCTGTTTGTCTTCCCCATGTATTGTGTTTCATTAAGACAGCAAATCTGGTTTTCCTGATGTAAGGACTTTTGGTCTGTTGACACCTCAGAAATTTCACTTTTTCTCCATTCTTGGCTGGTTGTAATCTATATTATGTTTCACTTGTCAATCTGCATAATATCGCCATTTCATTTTCCACTTCTTGTCATTTTATAAATAAACAATTGCGAAAATATCTGACAAAAGGAAATGGGTTGTATATACCCATGTATACCATTTTTGTGTCTGCTGCCTTCTGGAGGAGGAGGTATGCTGCCACTACTACTGTGCTATAGAAAGGCAGCATGGTCAACCCCCCCCACCCCCCGAGGTAGAGGGAGTTACTCATCTGAATAGTGAAGGCGAGGGCGCTGACCCCGAGTCCTGGGGTGTTGCTAAAAGTTCTGTTT